ACTTTTTAGGACAAGAAAAAAGAAAACAAGCCAAACACTCTTTAAAGTCATTATTAGATAAATAAAAGAACAATATAGAAAATCATAATGCTATCTACAAGCATTAGCAATGAGATAAAGGGTGGAGATTATTTATTATCTAAACTGACCAAAAAAAACAATAGAAGAAAAAGATATGATAGACTGTGATATTATAGATAATACTCCTATTATAGATAATACGTTTTTTGGTGCCTATTTGTTTCTCAGATCTATCAGTGTGTGTGTGTGAATGGGTGAATAAAATGCATTAAATTAAAGCTTGTTGTAGAAAGGCGCTTTTTTAAAGTTCAGCCCGTTTATTTCCCTAAATTAACAAAATTCCAAACAATAATTACAGCGCCTTCAAACGGCCTTTTCAAATGAAGAAATAGCTCAAGGCCAACATTTGAGGTTCAAGATAACCAAACCTTAAACTAAAAGCTCAAACAAACACACTGACCTGACACCCAACAGACAAAGCGGACTTAAATACTGGCTAATTAGACCAGACTGATACACTGAGGAACAGGGAAGGGGAACATTACACAAATTCAACAAAAATACTCAACACAGTTAGCTTAAACATGAACTTAAATATCTGATTACTATACAAAATGAACAAATAAGCTTATTACATACAGTGGGGGAAATAAGTATTTGACCCCTTGCTGATTTTGCAGGTTTGCCCACTTACAAAGAATGCAACAATCTATAACTTTAATCATATGTACATTCTAACAGTGAAAGACAGAATCCCAAAGAAAATTCCACAAAATCCCTTCATATGAATTTATAAAAATTGATAACTATCTAATGAGGAAAAATAGGCATTCATTGTAAGTGGGCAAACCTGCAAAATCAGCAAGGGGTCAAATACTTATTTACCCCACTGTAAGCAAAAAGAAATTCTTGAATGATTAGAATAAAGAGTTTCCCCATATGGAACTCCAGATGGTATCACCCAGTCAGAAGCATTAACAGTGAGGCTGCTTTTAGGGATGCTGCTGCCTCCACCTGCACAGACAACAGCAAACAAACGTCACATCAAGCCAAAGCTGCTGCTCTCATTTCTGGTTGGAGCTTAATCAATGCTCACAGCTCACAGAATAGACATCTAACCGGCCCCCCCAAAATAAAACCTGAACCTGGGTCTCATCTGAGCTTTTTCACAGCATTAATTGACTAAAAACAGTCACAATTCCTGTCCTCCCTCTGCCACTGGAGGATTAGGAGAAGTAGACTGGATAATTTGTTTCCCCATTCTGTCCAAACTTCATGATGCCGCTCCTTATTTTAGCTGCATTTGTTCACAGGTTTATGTTACAGTTCTGATCATGTCAGCTTCTGTCCTCCATAGTAAATGTGGATGTTTTACTGAACTTGGTGGTCATTTAAAGACTGAATCCAGGGACATAAGCTTGATTAACTGCCTAAGGGAAAGTCAGTGAACACAGACTGCAGTTACACAATGAGGCCACTGGGTGTCTCTGTTCACCACAAACTTTATGGAGAGAGATAACTGTCAAAAGCTTCATTTGTATTCTTATATCCACAGAAATGTGGAACATAAACATAGTTTTTTTTAACATGATGATGTGGTTATTGGTTATTATTTAATGAACACTCGGACATATAAAACCAGCTGACTGCATTCACTGGGGATGGAAACTGTGTCCTGCACAGCGTTCTGTTTACTGAATCAGGAGCAGAATCGGGGTTCCTTTAGTCCCACCCGTGACGTGGAAATTCGAGTTGTGTTCAGCCAGCGGACTTTCTGCTTGGTTGTAATGCTGGCTGTGTGTGTCTGAACGTTGCTCCACACTATGTGCGCGTGCTCTTCTATACTTTCTAAGTGTCCTTGTCCTACTCTGTGTTTTATCTTGTTCTTGTATTTCTCTACCTCAGTGTTGGAGATGAAGGGGGGGGGTGCATGGTAACTGCCTTAAGGACTCACAAACAGCCCCAGGAGCAGAGGTGTCTCCAGGGCTTTGTTCTTTGTGGATCTTTGGGCTTCATCTCTCAGCCTAAAGGCTTCTTCTGTCTGAATGGCTGTGAGAGCTTCTGGGAGGAGGGACAGGCTGCTCTGGAAGTGCTGGGAAGGCCACACCTGAGGGAACAGCTGACTGAGCAGATTCTTCACAGGATGCTGATTCTGGAGTGAACAGGACGGCTGGTGGAGGAATATTATACTACTGATCTGATGAGAAACAACAGTTTAATGATGAGACAGAAACATCCAGACCTGTCCAGCTCCATGTTTGTCTCTGAGGAGCTCTGAGGGAAATGTTCATTAGGATTTTTAAATGTTTTAAAGTCACGGCTCACTGTGACGAAACACAAATCCGCTTTATCAGTTCAGCCAATCGATTAAAAACCCAAACAGGAATGGGGTTGGGGGGCTTATCAGATCAGGTTTAAAGCTCAGACTGCAGGAACAGCCCTCATGACTGTTTTCTGGGAGTCTTTATCTCTGATTGGCAGCAGCTTTTTGTTTTCAGCTTTAAGAACTGAGAGTAAATGAGTCATTCCCTTAGTCTGCAGACTGCTGGCGTGTTGTTCTGCTGTAACATGATCCACACAGACACACCTGTACAGGTAGAACTGGTTTCCACATTTTAACGTTTGTGAACTTGACGGAGGCGACATTTTCCTCTCACGCGAAGCAGAATGTAAGGTAAATTATCAATTTTTGTTTCTTTGATATGTTTAAATGGTAAAAAATCAGCTGTTTTAAACAGAAATCTGCATTAAATGGTCTGTTCCAGAGTTCAATAAACAAAATTCAGCTCAGCTGAACTGAAGCAGAAGTGAATCCTCCATTTTATGAGGCATCTGATCTGCGGCTTCCAGAAGCAGAATTTACTGGAATAGAAACACACACATTTCTATTCAGCTTGGGGGGATTTTTATAAACACTCTGAAAGAGAAAAAGCTGAGTATTGTGGATTTAACCTGGTGGGAGCAGGTTTTCCTCCACAAACTCAAGAGTATTTTTGTTTCCCAACCCTCTAAAATACACTCATGCCATTTCATTTCCTCATTTAGTTTGGAGAGCTTTATCGTAATTATGTGCAAACAGTTAAATAAATAAGTGTTTAAAATACAAATATGACATGTTATTTTGTCGAGAACCACACTCATATACATCCACCTAAATATATATTTATAGATATTTGTGTGTGTGTGTGTATGTATGTATGCAAATGTGTGGACGGATAAGGAGGATGTACTAAACTAAACTCCATGTTTCAGACAGGTGAACCAGAAGGTTCTACAGGTGAGGTGGAGCCCAGCAGAGGCGTCTGAAAGGCTGTGAATCCCTCAGTGTTTCCTGTTATGGTGGGATGGCGTCCTCCGGCTGTCCCAGCTCCCACCTCTGTGAGGGAAAGCAGGATTCTGCTGTGAGTCTCTTTCATGTTTCAGCTTTCAGTGTGTGTGTTGCTGCTTCAGCTGGAAACAGCTGGTCAGAATGACAGAAGCCTCACTGCTCACTGAGTGAAGAAAAGGGGGAACAGGGAGCACAACCAGAATCTGAATTAGGCAGAGAGCCTGAAAACAGGATGAAACCCCCCCCCCCCCCTCATTTTCACTACAGCAGGTCTGAATGTTTGTCAGCCTCTCAGTAACACGCTGGCACCATCTTGAATCCGTCAAAGCCAGAACGGTTTAAGTCCTCCTTAATTCTGTGCTTGGACCAGTTCTTTTACCCTTTAACAGAGGTTTTTGTTGTAACCATTTGAAAAAGGTTTTAGAAAAGCCCCATAAGCCTGATTTGGATCTTCCACATAAAAAGTCTCCCTATCATAGCTTTAGATTTCTTTCTTTCTAGATTTGAGTCTTCCTTATGTTCTGAAACATCTTAACCGAAATAAAGGTTCTCTATTGGGGGAGCAATTGAAGCCTTTCTAGTATGCAAATAGGATGGTGGCACAAAAGCAGTCGAAAGATACCATCAGTCACTGTGGCGCCATATAATATGTTTTATTGTTTATCATTTCATTCAGATTCAGTTTAACTTTTCTTGTTTTGTTTAATAAATTTTCCTCTTGGGAAACACCGTAGACATGTGCAGAGCGTTGTTCCTAAGTACACAGACCTTCCCTTTTTAAAAAAATGGATGAACTGGGGCAATTTGTGTTCGAAGACCAAGATCATCCATGAATTGTGTAACAATCCTAGTATAAGGCCAGTTACACCGACTCCCTGTGTCACTCAGTCTGTCCACAGCTGGGTCCAATAGAAATGATATAAATCTTCCTTTCTGGGTCTGTACTGGTACTATTCATTGTAGAACTGACTTTCCTGCACATCAAAATGGCCACACCTTTTGTCTGAAGCTGGAACCATCTGGAGTCACATGGGGGAATTGGGCTGTGGACAGAACATCAGCTGCTGTCTTTGGTAAATGAGTCCTGCAGTAAAACAGGAGGGAGGGAGCTGCAAACCTCCCAGCAACACACTCCAGCTTCTCCTGAAGGATTCCAAGAGGTTCTCAGGCCATAAATGATGTGTAATGCATCAAGCTTTTGCTAGTTTTGCCTCAATATCTACTCAGCTCAACTCAGAACTGCGTTGCTTTGGTATTGTTTGACCTTTTAATAATTTCGAGCCATAAACAGAACAATTTGCTCTGATGCAGCTGCAGCACAAGTGAGAGTGTGTTTGTTGTTCAGTAAGCACAAATACTCCTGTCCTGTGACCACTTCCACTCATGCAGGACACATATGATGAGTGGTAAGTGATGCAATATGAGTCCCGCATTAACCTGATTCTCAATGTTTTTAGAGCAAAGATGATGACGAGGAAACAGAGGGACACCCTTCAGAAGCTCCAACAGAAGCCCCCCCAACCCATTCAGCATCTTCAGAACATCCACCCTCTTCAGCAGGTAAAGCTTCAGTGTCCAGCACACCAGGTTACCATTCAACACGATGAATGAAGACTGTTTACCAGCTCTGTTCTGATACAGGAACTGTAGCAGGAGTCATGAAGCCCAGCTGACCAATCACAGCAGATTGTTTCTGTTTTGTTTTAGCATCAATGTGTGTGAAGATGTCCTATTCAGTTAACAGATCCATTTAATTAAAAGGCCAAAATGTACATATTTGCATTCATGCTGAATAATACTCAGTTCTGCTAAAGTACATCTTCAAATGGAAGCCTGTCTTCACTAAATGCATCAAATGCATGCACTGAAAACTTTAAGAGAGAGATGTGTTGGTTTCTCCCTGCAGTGAGCGAGGTTGAAAAGATCAGGTGTGACTTTGTGGCCAGGGTGTCAGAAGCAACCCTCAAACAGCTCTTTGATGCCTTAAGAAAAGATGGTGTGCTCAATCGTTTGCAAGAAGAGGAGATACTGCAGAAAAACCCAGTTAGAGCCGACAAAGCACGTGATCTTTTGGACTATGTGATGAATCAAGGAGAAAAGGCCTGTAAGAAGATGATAGTACATTTGAAAGCCTCAGCTCCAGCCCTTTCCTCTGAGCTGGGCATTTCCTCTGATCATCCTGCTTTGAAAGGTGAGGCCTCACAGCCTTTAACAGCAGTTACTCTGAACAGTCACTGGATTCCACATAATGCAGCTGTAATCTCAGAAGTTTGACCTTTAACCTTCTTTATAGTCACCCCAGGAGAACCACATGCATTTATTTGGTGTCCCAAATGCTACCAAGTGTAAAATAGAATATAAAGAGACTTAATTAGTAGTACAATGTTTATTTACAAAAATATAAAAACATCACTATTCGTTGTTCTGAAATCTTAAAAATATAACGTGGCAAAACACTTAATCGATGGGCTGTATTCAAAACAGGACAAGCGTACACTTGACTGACCTGGAGTAGTGTAAATAATAATAAATATGCAACTTAGGAAACAAATAAAATCAAAATGGCATGGCCAAACAAAGCCCAAATAAAAACCAAACAAAACATGCAAAGGTGCCCCAAGTCAATTCAATTTGACACGGTCCAAAAATCCTATACAGGCCCAAACAATTCAAGTACAGCCTAAACCTTAACAAAAAGGGAAAAAACAGTGGGTGGTGGCTCAGTGGCATCCAGATCATCGCTTTGTTAGCATCCCAAAAAAGAACTCTCCTAGTTGTAGAGGCCAGCAGGTGATAAGACCTTTCCTCAAGGAGGACTGATGACTGTAACTTTGTTAGCATCCCAAAAAAGAACTCTCCTAGTTGTAGAGGCCAGCAGGTGATAGGACCTTTCCTCACGTAGGACTGATGACTGTAACTATTACTTTTTGTCTGCGCACCAAAGACAGATTTGGCTTAATCAGCTCAAGTATGATGGCTGCCAGTTGCCCTCTGCACCCATGTGGAGTGAAAAGCCCAGATTTGCCTCCCTCTGGCTTTTTAAAAGCTATGCTCCACCCCCCAACTTCCTACTTCCTGGTTCACCCTGTCACACAAAAAATACCCATTAAACCCATGAAAATCCCCTCACCTGGTCCTCTCCCCGCAGACAGGGAGCCCCAAAGCTCAGCTAACAAAGGCTATGAGCCCAACCTTACCTCCTTTGACCACAGTGTTTAAACTGCTAGAACCTGTAAGCACCACAGGAATGAAGAGCAGACCCACATCTGAGTATGGACCAGTGGCACTGCTGTTAGTTTGAGTACTCAGTTGGTCAAAGCCTTTTAAAAACCTTTCAGTGATTCTCAGCTTTACACTAGTTTAAGACCTGTTGCTTCTTTGTTTAGCAACCAACCTGCAGAGTAATCTCAGATTTGATATAAACTCATGAGATACTTCATGTCACGCTAATGTGTAGAAATACTGCTGATTTCGGGATGTATTTCTCTCTGAGACCTTTAAAGCTGTTCAGGTAAATAAATGGAATCTTCCATGTGTTTTTTTCTTCATTCAGAGTTTAATTTGGACTGTCAGTTCAAACATAAGTCTGCTATGGAGAAGAAGTTCCAGTGTGTGTTTGAGGGTGTCTCTAAAGCAGGAAACCCTACCCTTCTGAATCAGATCTACACAGAGCTCTACATCACAGAGGGAGGGGCCACAGAGGTCAATGAGGAACATGAGGTCAGACAGATTGAAGCAGCATCCAGGAAAGCAGACAGACCAGAAACAACCATCAGACAAGAAGATGTCTTTAAAGGCCCACCTGGAAGAAAGCAGCCAATCAGAGTAGTGCTGACAAAGGGAGTGGCTGGCATTGGGAAAACAGTCCTAACCCAGAAGTTCACTCTGGACTGGGCTAAAGGCAAAGCCAACAAGGACATCCACTTCCTGTTTCCCTTCATCTTCAGAGAGCTGAATGTGCTGAGACATAAAAAGTTCAGCTTGGTGGAACTTGTTCATCACTTCTTCCCTGAAACCAGAGCAGCAGGAGTCTGCAGCTCTGCGGAGTTCCGGGTTGTGTTCATCTTTGATGGTTTGGATGAGAGTCGATTTCCTCTGGACTTCCGCAACAAGGTGCCCCTGACTGACGTCACAGAGTCCAGCTCAGTGGACGTGCTGCTGATCAGCCTCATCAGGGGGAACCTGCTTCCCTCTGCTCGCCTCTGGATCACCACACGGCCCGCGGCAGCCAATCAGATCCCTGCTGACTGCGTTAGCATGGTGACAGAGGTCAGAGGCTTCACAGATGAGCAGAAAGAGCAATACTTCAGGAAGAAGTTCAGAGAGGAGAGCCAGGCCAGCAGCATCGTCTCCCACATCAAGAGCTGCCGGAGCCTCCACATCATGTGCCACATCCCGGTCTTCTGCTGGATATCTGCCACAGTTCTGGAGAAAATGCTGAGAACCAGAGGGGGGGGGCAGCTGCCCAAGAGCCTGACTGAGATGTACATCCACCTCCTGGTGGTTCAGGCGAAATTGAAGAGGGCCAAGTATGATGGAGGAGATGAGACAGAACAAGTCTGGAATCCAGAGAACACAGAGATGGTGCTGTCTCTGGGAAAACTGGCTTTTGATCAGCTCCAGAAAAGGAACCTGATCTTCGAGCAATCAGACCTGACAGGGTGTGGCATCGATATCTCAGCAGCCTCAAAGTACTCAGGAGTGTTCACACAGGTCTTTAAAGAGGAGAGCGGGCTGTACCAGGACCGGGTGTTCTGCTTCATCCACCTGAGTGTTCAGGAGTTTCTGGCTGCTCTGCACGTCCATCTGACCTTCAGCAGATCTGGAATCAACCTGCTGGAAAAACAAAAAAGATTCTTCAAGAGACTTTTTAAGAAACCAAAGCTAAAACACCTCCATCAGAGTGCTGTGAACATGGCCCTGCAGAGTCCAAATGGACACCTGGACCTGTTCCTCCGCTTCCTCCTGGGTCTTTCTCTGCAGACCAATCAGAAGCTCCTAAAGGACCTGCTGACACAGACAGGAAGTAGCTCAGAGACCAATCAGGAAACAGTTCAGTACATCAAGGAGAAGCTGAGTGAGGATGTGTCTGTAGAGAGAAGCATCAACCTGATCCACTGTCTGAATGAACTGAATGATGGTTCTCTGGTGGAGGAGATCCAACAGGCCCTGAGTTCAGGAAGTCTCTCCACACATAGACTGTCTCCTGCTCAGTGGTCAGCTCTGGTCTTCGTCTTACTGTCATCAGAGAGAGATCTGGATGAGTTTGATCTGAAGAAATATTCTGCTTCAGAGGAGGCTCTTCTGAGGCTGCTGCCAGTGGTCAAAGCCTCAAAGAAAGCTCTGTGAGTACAGACACAGATTGATCTCTTTTGAAGTGGTCACTTTTTAGCTGGAGACCAACAGCAGAGTCACAGTCAAACTTGGTTGCAAGGAAACTGCACTTTAATTATAAGTTCAAAATAATCTTACAGATGTCATTTGTCATATTGATAAGCTTCCATATCATCTCAAGTCTGATTATTAATATATTTCAGACACAGGCACAATATTTTTTAACAGCATGGACAGAAAGTCTCCACATGAAAATCATGACTCATCACAACGGCATCATTATATCTGAACTTAGCTTTAGTTTTGTTTTTGGTCTTTGCATTTTTGAATATAGAGGTTTCTGATATAATCCTTTGGTGATTTTTCTTAACCTTATTTTCATGAGCACAGAAGTGATGTGAAAATCTACAAGAGCTGTTTGACTGATTGATGATCTAATCCATTTGTTTTCTCTCTTCTCAGACTCAGAGGCTGTAACCTCTCAGAGAGAAGCTGTGAAGCTCTGTCCTCAGTTCTCAGCTCTCAGTCCTCCAGTCTGACACATTTGGACCTGAGTAACAACCAGCTGGAGGATTCAGGAGTGACACATGTTTCTGCTGGACTGGAAAGTCCAAACTGCAGACTGGAGACTCTGAGGTTAGTTCACTCTATAAGCCTTTCTGGTTTTTGGTTTAAATTATGTATTTCCATGTTAAATTTATTAAAGAAGCTGCAGAGCTCTGCCACATGTTCCAACAGACATTTTTCTCTCTATTCCACAATTGAAAACAAGGTTTAACTTAGAGAAAGGACCCTGTAAACACAGCGGGCTTCACTTGCTCTGTGAGCTCCTCTGAGACATCTTTGTTCAGTAGAGATGAGGCTGTGTGATCCGGGGGCTTTTGGGCTGCTGGTTGCAGATGTTTTCTCACTCTGGAGGTGGGACTTCAAAAGATGTCATTCAGACTATTTTATGTTTTTTTATTAAAAGAGGAACTCTTTTCACAATCCCTCCTTCTTGTCAACAGGCTTAAAACAATATTTAAACTTGTAGTGTTTACAGATGGCAAATAATTTCAAAATGTTTTTTCCTTTCGAGCTGAAAATGTTTAGGCTGAATGAAGCACAGACTTACTTTACAAACTCTTGCTGATTTTAACATTACTAGATGTTCAGGTTATTCAGAGATTAAATGTACTTTGACTATAAATCAAGAAACAGGTTAATGTCATATTCAAAGTATTAAATGGCTGTTTAAAATCCTATGTTGAAATGCACATCTACAACCTAAAGAGATGGGAAAACGGATTTTGGTTTAACATTTTATCAGTTGGGCGGCATGGTGGTGTGGTGGTTAGCACCTTCCCTCAAGAAGGTTCAGGGTTCGACTCCAGTTTTCCCTGTGACCCCATCAGGGAATGAGTGATGATGATGGATGGATTTTATCAGTTAGGTTTCCAAAACATAAGTAGGTTTTTCATTTTGAACAAATTTGATTCAGATTACTCCACATGTTATGTTGTTTCTTAGACTGGAAGGCTGCAGGTTGTCAGAGACCAGCTGGTCTTCTGTGGTCTCAGCTCTGAAGTCCAACCCATCCCATCTGACAGAACTGGACCTGAGCCTGAACCCCATCTCTGAGAGTGTGATGAAGGAGCTGAGCAGCTTTCTGCAGAGTCCACTCTGTGGACTGAAGACTCTGAGGTCAGAGTCCAGGTTTTAGTGGTTAGTTCAGATAAGAGGATGAGCTGAAAGCTGTGCTGACATTAAATTGTTAACAGAAGCCTTTTAAAGATTCCTACTGAGAATTTTTGTTTAAATATATTTTCACTTGTTTTTAGGTAAACATTTATTTACAAGAAGGCACATATGCCTCT